CACAGCATGTTGTGATTTAGTTGACTTGTGTATGACCAATTGAACCAGAATAACCGTGTCCTTCTTTGCACTGAACCATCATTCTGACTGAAACACACAGCATGTGTTAACAGAGGCTGTTTAGACACCTTTGTGTATTCCCACAACCGCCAGTTGAGCGTTGTTTGGACTGCTAGTTGATTCTCACCCTACCTACAGGTTAATACACTAGCCTGCTATTATTATTTCATAGATGCTAGCAGAAGACACAGCCTCCTGGCCAGAGGCCAAGGCTTCACTATTGGTGGCAGGGCACTCGGAACAGGGGCGTATCTGCATTCATGCCTCTCACTTCCAAGTCTCATGAGGGCAAAGTAGTAGACCCCGAGGGATGTTTCTATGTAGCCAGCTTGCACTGCACCTGAGAAACAAACGTCTTTGGGGAATATTCCCCTTTTACAGCAAGAAGTAATGCAAGCCTCCCCTTTATTCTGAGCGAGAGAGGCCACTTCCTCAATCATAGTTGATGCTTCAATACCCCTGAGAAATGAAGAGCAGTCAAGGTCTTGCAGCCCTGCTTCTATGCCGAGTTAGATTTTTAAAAAATAGCCCTCAATCACAGGATGTCAAGACAATAATGAAGTGTGAGTACATCTTTATAAATTTAGATGGATCTTGCACTAGGACTTCATCACAGTTCTTTACATTCTCACCTCATCTCAAAGCAACTGGAAGTAGAAATCACAGATGGTGCATTCTGGCTTGTGAAATAGTCAACAAAGAATTGTGATTTGTGCAGACACAATGAAAGTAATGCATTAAATGAAAAAGTTGGCAAATGAATGTGCATTTATATGTTTGAATTCAAAGATATATTTAAGGAAGGTGTCGTTAAGTGTTTCTGCCTCTGTGCTTTAACCCACTTCTTTTAATTCAAATGTAGCAACACTTTTACTTTCTTCCTATTTCAGAGCTATTTGACATTAATACCCATTGGTAATCCCACTAAAGGCACATATGCGCTCTCTCCCGTAGTATTCTAAAGTGGATCTCAGCACAGAGTATTAAGGTTACGTGATGTCCACAGCCAAATCACCCAAGTCTCTAGGGATTTGCTCTCAGAAACCAATTTCCCCTCTCAGGAAAAAAAGTTCCTTTTCAGCAGGTTGCAGGTAATGACGAACTTAACTACCTTAAGAGTATGAATTGCTCACGCAAAGACTTTTGTTGACATCATCACAATTTCCAGAAAGAAAGTTCACTACAAATTAAGAGGAAAGGGTCTTAGCAGCTACAGTACATTTCATAATGCAATTATATCTGCAAGGTTTTCCCAGAGTTTTTCATGCAACACCAGCTGTTGACTAAGCTGTTGCTTTTTCCTCAGAGAGGTGACACCGAGGTTCCCACATACCCTGCATGTGGCTTGACACCCAGATGGAGCGGATGAAGGGATGGCCTCTCCAGCAGTCCTGAGCCACAGCCACCAGCATTACTATGCTTGAGACCCACCTCCCAAGGGGCTTTTTATTTTTAAAATAAGCCTAGTGGGCCCTCCCTGGTGGCGCAGCAGGTTAAAACACAGCACTGAAAAGCTAAAGTCACTTCCACATGAGTTCGATTCCCGCCTGCCCCGGAGGTGACCGCATGGCGTGGCAGACCTCTCCTGACCCGCCCGCTGCTCCCCTCAGCAGGGTACTTCGTCGATCTGCCTGTTCTGTCCCCCACTCTGTCTCTGGTGAAGCCTCTCACCGCCCCTGAGCCTCTGACCTGTACCCCAGTTCTGTATGCACAAATAAATCTTTAAGAAAAAAATAAGCCTAGTGGTCTCTCTTTTCTTTTAAGACTACTCTTTATTATTATTATTATTATTATTTTACATTATTTTTCATTTTGTAAATTTTTTCATCTCAGTTGAAATCTCCGTGGACTTCATACCACCATGTCACTCATGTGCCATCATGAGAGTCCCTGCCCCAGTTTTAATCCTGTTCCCCTCTCCTTCCCCATAGAATGTCTCTGGTTTATAGTTGTTAGTTGATGTTCTTTTTACTTTATTACAATTACTATACACACATACGCACACATATTTTTTTACTTCCCCGAGCCTAGCAGTCTCTTAACACAGCAGAAGGCCTGTTAACACAGGCCAATTCACACCAAGCAAGCTCAACGATTTGAAAACTCCCCTGGTGACCTGGAAAGGGCTCACTCTCAAATTTTATCGAACACAAGTTGTGTCAAAAAGGCCAGAACTCAATCCCGTGTTTTACCCTGCATATATATATAGTCCGTAAATACTGGGACATGATAGGGCTTTGTGGAGAGAGAACATCTGGCCATGCCTTTGCCCAGCAGTTCCGGAGTGCCACCAAGCATGCCAACTACCCCTGGGAAGCCCTGCCGGACCACCTACCTGCTGGGACTGCCACCTCCTGCTTCGCGACCTGCTAATCTGCTGCGACCTTTCTATTTTGAACTCAGCTCCTGTTGCATCCAGACAATTTGATTGACAAAAAAGGACTTTCCGATCAAAAAGGATGCGAAAAACTTCCAGATTTAGATTACCAGGGAAAAGAAGGAGATTATCAAAGATCTAAATAATGCAACCCATAGCAAAACATCCCAGTAAATCATAGCAAACCAGCTAAATTAGACAGCACTGTCCATAGACAATTACACTGTTGGGCTCCCATGACAGCCTTTAAATGTGACATGTTATTTGACATTCTTGCAATTAGGGCTTAGGAAAAAAAATCAATTTTTTTCTATTCCACTTAAAATAAAAAATGTACTGTTTTCCAATGAAATGCACCTTTTTTTTCTAGTCAAGACAGACAAAAAAGTAATACTAGAACAAACATATCACAGCTGCATGATGAAGATAGACATTTAAAGTCTAATTTTATTAGATTTTATGAAAGGGCAGAACCTAGAAGTAATTACCAGCAAGTTATATTTACTTTCGCATCATTATCCACAGCCGTCTGAATGGGCTGTGAGGCAGACAGTCAGCGGAGCCCTGTGTGAGCTTCTGAGGAGCTGTAGAAGCGGATCTGTTGTGCACTCACACAGGGGCAGGCGCCTCTGTTCTGCAGCCAGACCCTCATTTTTTTTTAAAAAGAAGGATTTATTTATTTATGCATACAAGAGCTGAGGAGTAGACCAGGGGAGTGGGGAGGGGGTTTGAGAATATTCCCGAGAGACAGAGTGGGAGCAGAACAGGCAGATCTACTGAACACACTGTTGAGCGGAGCAGCGGGCGGGTCAGGATGAACCTGCTGCACCACGTGGGTCACCTCCCTGCCTGGGGACCTGCAGTGGCTCCTGATAGCTTCATAGTGCTGAGGCTTAATCCCTTGCGCCAGTAGAGGGGCCCCAAAGGTGAGAGTCTTAATGGAATAAAATGCTTCCAACTTACTGTCACCCTTCCCATCTTAAGTCCCTTCTGCTTCTTGTATTCTCTTAAAACCTATGATAAATATTTGACATATTTTCTTTCCAAAGACATTTAGCCTGAACCAAACATTGCTCCATTGTTACCTGCAGATACATAAATAGTAGTAACAAAACGACAGGAACAATAAACTAGTATCATTTGCACAGTTTCTATGTACCAGGCACTGTTCTGAATGATTTATAGGAACTGTCTCAACTGACCTTCAGAGTGACCTTATGCACCTGACCCGTCAACAACTTCCTAGGTTCACTTATATATGGGTTTTCTTGTAAAGAGATAGTGTAAATTTATTATCAGTAAAGACAGTCCAGTACTGTAAATGTATTTCCTATTATGATTTTAAAATATTATCTTTTCTCTAGCTGACTTTGAGAATACAATAGAATACATATAACATACAATATATGCTTTAACCAACTCTTTATGCTACTGCTAAGGCTTCTAGTCAATACTATCTAACTTTTGGGGAAGTAAAAAAATGTGGATTTCTGTCTGTGTGGGACGCGATGATCCTAACCCCTGTTATTCAAGGGTTGGCTGCATTCAAGGGTTATTGTCACCAACAAATATGTTTGCCACTATCATTAGGTAAAGGGATTCCAGCAATAATTGCTCAGTAAATCGCAATTCTTGTTATTTACTCGACTGTAAACAGGGGCTTATGATGGTCAAGTAAAGTCTGAGATGAATTTTGCATAAAGTAAATCAATCATATATTGTGGGCAGTATAGTACCTACCTACCCCCATAGAAGTCCACATCTTAACTGCAAATAGGCTACCTTCAGATTTGGTAACTTTTAGGGAGGATGCCCAGAATGCACTGAGAGCTGTGATGCTCACCATGGCATTTCACTACAAGGAAATGATCCAGGATAAAGTCAGCCCAGAAATAGGGAAGTCTGGGGAAGCAGTAAAGGCTGAGATTCTGGGGGCCTCCCTGGTGGTGCAGGGGGTTGGAGCGCTGCATTGCGAAGCTAAGCCAAGCCATGGCCACTTCAGTGCGAGTTCGATCCCTGCCCCAGAGGTGACCCACATGGCATGGCAGACCTCTCCCGTCTGGCCAGCTGCTCCCCTCAGCAGTGTACTTTGTTGATCTCCCTGTCTACTCCCCACTATTTCTGGTGAATCCTCTCGCCGCCCCTGTACCTCTGGCCTGTACCCCATTTCTATATGCATAAATAAAGTCTTTTTTTTTTAAAAAAGGCTGAGATTCTGTTGTTTTCTCCTCTTTGACTTCCACCCTTTCTTGGCATCCATGTGATAAAACCAGTGTACAGAGAGTACTGCCAAGCTAGGCAGCTGACCAGAGCCCTGGCAGGTCTGATGGTGCTCCACAACACAGACAGGACCAGTTAATCGACTGTTAACAAGTTTACAAGTCAACTGATACCGTGTTACTCAAAGCCGCCATTAATATTCTTTCCGGACATCTGCACTCTAACTTCCATCTGGTAAGTCCCGGCACACCCTACCCCTACCCTAAATCGTATGGTCAGACTATCTGGCATGACCCAAGGAGCCAACGCAAACGAAGACACTCCTACGACGCGTGATACTCACAAAGGCCAGAGTCTGCTTCCCAGAAGTCAAGGGTGAAAGCTGGGCTGTTTCCTTTCACAGGGCTAGATCTTTAACTACATCCTCATCAACTTGGGTCAAAAGAGTAAGTAGGATTGTTCCCACTGAATTGGAAAAAAAAAAAAAAAAAGGAGGAAAGAGCACCAACAAGAACACAATGCTTCTGAACCTGGTGCTGGGCCCTGGAAGATGAGAGTGGGCGGAAAAACACCCTAATTGTAAAGGCCCTAGTTCTGCATTAAGGAGCTCTGTACCAAGATAAGGGGGCATTCAGAAGATTTTTTAGAGGGAGTGATCTGAACAAAGAACCCTTTTGTAACGTAAACAGTTAGCTCTCACTTTACAGTTCACAATGTCATGCTTTTATGTACTGGGCTTATTTTTTAATAAGCCAGTTGCTCAGAAAGGAGGCAATTCTGCTTCTGTAGTAATGTTGACAACAGAGTTAAATTAATCAATCGGCACAGACGAGCATTTCAAATGTTCTTATTACAATATGATTTGATATGTTCACCAGAGTGATGGGGCAGGAGGGCACCCGATATCACTTTCCTCTGAACCCAGGTGGACCTCTATGACTAGTTTGACCAACCGAGTACGATGGCATTCATAGGGCTTCTAAGGCTGAGTGATAAGAACCCCGTGCACACCTGCCTACCTCTCTTGGGAAGCTTACTCGCAACACGGCTGCCATAATACGAGGAAGCCCGAAGGAGCCCCACATGGAGAGCACACATGGAGAGGTCCCATGCAGGTTTTCTGGCCAGCAGTCCAGCTGAGGTCCCAGCCAGAGGAACAACTGACCCCGAATGTGAAGGAAGGTAAAGTCATATGGTTCCATGGCCCCAACTCTGACTGCTCCCTATTGAGGTCCCTGCCAGAGTGCATCACGTCGTCAGCCTGTTGCATCCTCATTGAAATCCTAATCCACAGATCCATGAGCATAGTAAAATGGATCTTAAACACCATGAGCGTTTAGGGAAGCTTGCTACAAAACAGTGGCACCCGAACGGGATGTGCCTGACCAGGCTGCCTGTACTGCAGCTCACAGTCGAGCTGGTCTGAGAATCCAGAGCTGGGCATCACAGGCATGTAGATTCCAGCTGAAACCATACATACCAGATTCCATACCAGGAAAAGTCTTCCGGAAGAGGACAAGAAAGGTGGAATCCAAGTCTGCTGATGTTTAAAGAGTGTTTAGAAGAAAAGAAGTGTGCAGAAAAATAGGACAGATAATACAGACCAGAATTCAGACTGTATACTGTAAATAATTGTAAGACTTTCAGGCAGAAATTTAGGTAATTGCAAAATCACTGGCAAGACTGGACATCTATTCCCAGCTTCCAGAGTTCACAGCCATCGCTATGGTCTGCGACAGGAGAGCCACTGCCACCACCCAGAGGGGGTAACCTGCCTGCAACCTCCCACCTCGACCCCAGCACTGAGGATGCCGTGATAACTCCTCAGCAGTCCACGCCTCTGTGGCCACTTCGCCAGGAAGAACAACTTGGCAGCACTTTCTAAAACTAAGGGAATACGTCTCATTGCATCCTGAATGCAATTTTTTACCCAGAACACTGGGCCGAGGAAATGCATCCCAGGCTTCTCCTAGCAGAAAGCATGAAAGCAGGGGAAGGTTGAATGCTGATCAGAGAAAAAGCAAACCAGCAAAAAGCGACCTACTGACTTTCCAGAGGGATGGAGCAAAGTGAGGTGCAGAAGAGCCTGTCCCTAAGGTCAAGACCAGAGGTGGCAGTGAGGGCTGGGAGGGCATTGGGTTTTGGGGTCCAACAATTCTAAGCTCAGTCACTCTTCAAGGGAGTTTCCTCTACTACCAAAATAGGATGAACGAAATACGTGTTAGGAGCTGAGTTCAGAAACGGGGACACCTGACAGGTATCAGTGCTGGCTTTCCTTATCTCTAACGTGAATGTGAGCCGTGACTCCACTCTGCCGTGGCGGGGGGAGAGGGTCCCCAAGCAGGGGCTTCGTCACCTCCATAACTGAAGAGAAAGAGTGACAAGTTCATCAGTAGAGCAGAAGCTCTCTGATGGGCATTTTTTAGACTTACTTCCACAGCACCAGATTTAACATTGCTCCCTTAGAAATATTTAGAGAAGAGGTGGTGTAGAGCCTCCTAGTTAATTTCAACAGAAGTTGAAGGGTGGGAGAAAGCAGGTCAAAACAAGAAGAAACTGCCATGAAATTAGTTTACAGTGGCTGGTCCTTCCAGTGAACTTGGTCTGAGGCTGGGGGAGGCTGTGTAGCTTCAAGCATCTGGGATGCCAGTCTGTGCCCTCTTCTACGTGGACTATTTCCAGTGCTAAGTTACAGCCCAAAAGGTGGAACAGTAAAATGCTGTAACAGCTAAGGACGCTTAGCCTTGTGGGGACCAAAGGCAACAGCTGGTCTGAGATGCAGGAGGCGCTGCTCTTGAGCCAGGTCACCAAGCGGCATTCGGAACCCAAGTCCCAATTTGCTCCCTTCTATGTACAGTATGTGTTATCTGCACTGAAGAGACGAAATAAAATTAGCAAATGATGATCGCTGCCATTTACTGACATGTGTGTGCCAGACACCACACAAAATCAATATGTATTTATTTAATCAGAGCTTCAGGTGACCCTCTGAAGATTTCTACCTCTAATCTGTACAAGGAAACAGGTATGAACTTGCCCCAAACCACACAGATGCTGGCTGTGCTGTAGTGGCAGGATTTGAACCCCTGCTGATGGAAGGGCTAAGCTGGGGGCCTGGCATGCAGGGTCAGTAAATGAAAATTGTTATTATTATTTTTTTTCATAGATTTATTTATTTATTCATACAGAGCTGGGGTACAGGCCAGAGGTGCGGAGGGTGAGAGGATTCACCAGAGACAGAGCGGGAAGCAGAACAGGCTGATAGATGAAGTACACTGCTGAGGGGAGCAGCGGGTGGGCCAGGAGAGGTCTGCCGCGCCATGTGGTCACCTCCGGGGCAGGCGGGGATCGAACTCATGCGGAAGTGGCTTTAGTTTCTCAGTGCAGTGCTTTAACCCGCTGCGCCACCAGGGAGGGCCCGAAAATTGTTATTTTTTTTTAATAGGCAATCTCTTGCCCACCTTCATTTGATAGACCTCCAAATGATTCAGAAAGTGACTTGCCAAGGTCAGGATGGGGGTTGAAACTTAAATCTCTTGACTCTGAGTCTAGCACTTTCCCCCTTAATCTGTTATCACATCCCCCTTTAGGACAACCTGTAACTAGAAACTTAGCTGGGCTGGTCCTGAGCCCATATGAGCATGGCAACAGCGCCCTCTGCTGTCTCTAAGGACAACTGACCGCGGCTAGCTGGCAGTTTACTTGCAACCAGCTCTACCTAACCTTTCATTACTAACCTCTCTATCTTAGCAAGCCGTAATGACCCCTCCTCCCTTTTTTAACTGAGCAGCCTCATTGCTTAAGTCTTTTAATTAAAGAAAAAGAGACAGGAGAAGGAAGGAAGGAGATCAAGGAAGGAGGCACCCAGTGCAGAGAGACATGTGAAGAAGCTGCATTTGCTTCTCAGCCTTGCCCTTGTACCAGGGACTTTGGGGATGTGGAAGGAAACACATGGAAGACACAGAGACATAAGTGAGAGACCTGTGGGGAGGCTGACAATGGCAGCCTTATCTCGACTTGGGTTTTGATTTTGTTCTTTTTCTTCCACATTTACCTGGCCCCTTCTGCCCTTTTCCTATGGGTCCCACCAGGAGATACCTTACACCTGTAGCAAGCGTTCCCACCTCAGTGGTTCTGCTTTGGGTCAGTCTTGCTTGCCTGGGCACTTACGCAGTAGGGGACGGGTAACTTTGCGTATTTCACATAGAAACTCTTTCCTTTCTCTTCTGTTCATTGCACAGTTAATTGTATTAAAGTTCCTTCACATTAAAGATCTATGCACTACAGTACATTTTGTCTTGATGCAACAGATGGAAGAACCCCCTTAGAGCAGGCAGGTTTGGGGGTTCCAGGGTGCCCTGCACCTGCCTTATAACAACCCACTGCTTAGTCCTTCCACATACACCCAGCTAACCCTCTGTCTAGAAATGCATTCTATAAGGGGATGATCACTTGGCATTTAAATGCAGAAAGATGTTCAATGACCACTACCTACTCAATTACTAAGACCGTGGTATCCCCAGTGATGGCGTCCATGGCTGAATCCCTGCTCTCACTTAAGTGTCAGATGTCACACAGGTGTGCAACATGTGGTACCTGCACCTCAGAAAACCATTAGTGACGAACTACGGGAATAAAAATTAAAACCCAGCCCTCCCTCCCCAAGACCACAGCAAGTACAAGCTCTCCAGCTTCCTTCTACAGAAGGAACATTGGTGGGCTGTGGGCCGAGAAAATGACAGCTGGGCATTCCCTCCATTTCAGTCACCTTCCTTTACTGATGCTGGAACTCACCCGTTTTGTCCTGGTATCAACACAAGCTTGTTATTTTAAGTACCTTCCCTTTCAGTCCACCAAGAGAGTAAACTTGTGCAGCTTTTCTGTCCTTTATTTGCAAACTAGAAAAAAATTCACCGAAACTTTTCCTGGATAGTACTTTTTTGAAAAAGAGAAAGTGTTTTCTAGGAGAAGTTTTGCCAAACATGTATTTTAAAAACTATCCCAGAGCAAAAGAAAAACAGAAAGATTCCCACCTCATTCTACGAGGCTAGGAAATTCCTAAACAAATAAGCAAACAAGTGAAAATAGCAGCAGAACCAAAATAAAATTGCCATCAAGAGAGCTTTCTGTGTCCAACAGGAAATGCTCAAGACGAGAAGTGAGTGTTTCCTGTAGCTTCAAGCTAAGGTCTTTGCCATGTTAGCACGCTGACAACCAGCAGATCAAGCAGGATTTATGGGCAGCAGCAAGAACACCAGGAAGAGCCATGGCTGGATTTCTCCCTGTGTTCCTGAGAGGACCTCTAGCCCAGGGAAGTCATTTAACCTCGGGGGTCCCACTTCTTCATCCATAAGAGAAGCGGAGGTTACAGCAGGCTAAACTCATGGAGAGTTGAGAAGCACACAGGACAACAGGA